TGGCATGTTTCTGGAAATGTCAGTCGGGGTCTTAACAAATATAATTTCTAGAGAGCTATGGGCAGTCATGCCCCTTATAATCTAATTTGAGGAGTGTATGAGAAAAAATTGGAGCGTAGTAATTTAATAAAGCACTTAGACAAGCGCTTCTCCAACTAATAGGAGTTGAGATCACCCAGGGTCCCAAGGGGCAGACTCCAGCGAGCACTTTCCGGGATGGAGCCAGCTGACCAATCCCCAGGCGATCTGTCCGCAGCCAGGGCAGAGAACACTCGGGAGATGGTGTACATTTGCATTCCGTGTGCTTCTGAGCCAGAGCAGTGACTTAGGGGCTTTGACGTCTTGTTAGACTGCATGGCTGACATGAAGTTCTTGCCGAGGTCTCCAGGGCTGACTGGGCGGTGACTCGCTGGTGGCGCCACCTGCTGTCCCTGGCTCAGGGAGGCCCGGCGGACACGTTGGAGACTTAGGGAGGCCCTGTACCCAGATAAAAAAGAAGGGTTCAAGATGTAGCTCTGTGAAGACCTTGGGTTCAATCCCAGGGCAGGAAGAGAACAAAACAGGTTTCACCCCCTCAGGGTGTGATTTAAATTGTCTAGATCCCTGTGTATGCAAAGTGTGTGTGCCTGTGTGTGTGTCTGTGTGTGTGTGTGCCTGTGTGGATGTGTCTTGTCAGTTTCCATCACCGGAAAGACCCTCGTTTTGCCTTTTTACAGTATCTGCTCTTGTCCCAGCTCCCTGCCTAAACTCCTGCAACCACTAATATGTCTTCTACTTTAATTTTGTCATTTCAATACTATTATGCAGATGAAATAATTAACATCTGTCAGTTTGGCATGGGTTGGTCTCACTATATTTCCAAGCTGGCCTGAAACTCACAGTGACCCTCCTGCCTCAGCCTCCCAAGAGCTGGTATTACCCCTCCCCAGACAGCACTGGTTTTTCTCCTTCTGCACGGTTCTCTGGTAACCCATGCCTGCCTGCTGTGTGCATGGGTCATTACCTCCTCTCGGTGAGCAGGACTCATGTGTACTGCTGTTGGATCAGTCACCCACATGAGCTGGCCTGGCCTGTGTGCAGCCCTGTGATGGTTGCTGAGGCGGGGGGTGGGGGGCTCGAATCCAAAGCACAAGGGGTGTAGGGTTGTGGTGAGGCGACCACAACAAAGGAGGAGGCCCTGGGCGGACGCATGGGCAGCTTAGGAGAGACCCAGGGCTGCCTCACCTCTGCCCAGGCCAGTGAGCTGGAAGTGGGCCAGACCCCGCCATGCAGTGCTGAGCCCAGACAGCCATCCAGCCCCAGATACAATCTGTGCAGGCTGTGGTGTTCATCCCACAGCCCGGAACAGACTGACTCCCACTGGGGTCTCCTGCGTGGGACTCATGGCAGAGCGGAGGCCAGCAGACAGCGTGGTCTGCAAGGGTCCTGGAGTGGCAGGGCTGCCCTAGCAGGTGCTGGGTACCAGGCCTGGAGAGTTGGCATCCAGGTTTCTAGCCTGTGACAGGCAGTGAGCCTGGGAGAGGCTTGAGCAGCGTCAGGCTCAGGACAGTCCTGGTCCTCATCCCATCCCATTCCCTTACAGCAGGAGCCAGGAGCCGGCTCCCCCCACCAGTCAGGCACAAAGGCTCCGGGAGCGGGGTGGGGCCTGCCACCGTAAGGATTCAGGACGACTTGGATTGTGTGTCCTTCAGAATGGGAGCTAATTTATTTAGTCTGGGGTCTTCCCTGCCCGGCACCTCAGGCAGGACCGGCTCCCGACGCACCCCTTGCAGACCGCCACCTCAGACGTGTGCAGCTGGGAACTCAGCAGCCAGACTCGAGTGGGAACCTTCCCGTCACCAGGAAGGCCCCACATCCAGGCCTGGAGGGTGGAATCAGTGTCTTTCTGAGAAGGAAAGAAAAACGAGGGTATTTAGAGCAAAGAGTTAAAGAGGTTCAGAGAGAGACGAAACAGGTGTAAAAATGGACCACAGGGACAAATCCTGGTGTTTCCCAGAGCGTAGCGCGCGTTACTTCCGCTGGGTCAGCCCTGCGGGTGGACAGTCACCCACCTCTTTCTGTGTGAAGCCTGCCTGGGTGGTTACTCTAGTGCATATAACAAGTGGGGAAGTAAACACTGATCGCAACCCCTCGTTAGCTTTTCCTGGCTCTGCTTCCACTGGTGACCTTTCCTGTAACTACAGGGAATGGCGCTGAGAAGAGGAGGCTTTGTGTACACAAAACACAGAGAAAAAGAAAGAGATGGAGGCCAACACTGGACTTCTGAAATGCTAGAGGGCTCAGAGCGCATGGGGACCTAAAATCCCTCTGCTTCCCCACGCCCCTTCCCGAAGCACTGCAGGGCCGTCACACTGAGGAGCTGCCGTGGCCTTCGTGGCCGGCTCTGGGTTTCACCGCCCCCGCTCCGGCTTTTGTACTGGAGTTTGGCCTAAGTGCCTCTGACTTGACAGTAACCGTTTTCTTGTTAAATATGAGTCCACAAGCGGAGTGAAATGGGGTGAGCTGCAGGGGGTGCAGGGCTTCGGGGACAGTGGGGCCCTCTTCCTCCCAGACGTGGGGTGCTCACTGTGCGCCGAGGAAGCCCCGCGCGCGCTGTGGGCCTCCTGGACCAGCCCCGGCCTGAAGCTACCTCGGGGCCACTGCGCGAGGACACCTCTGGCAATCCCTGCGGTTCTCACCCCTCCTCCTCCGGCCTGCAGGGTTGAGGTCCTCCCAGAGCTTCGTTCATCGGACTCCTTTAAATCACTGTAACCCTTGCACTGTGGTTTCTAAGGCCCGCCGTAGACTTCGGTCATCTTTACATTTTTCCTTAAAACTCACTTGAGATTCTGAAGTTCAAGTGAAGACACATTACTAACTGTATTAGAACAAGCACAAAAGCATGAAGAGAGGTATCTTCTACCCCTTACCGGCTCACTGGAAGATTTTAAGACAAAAGCTGACTTTGACACAAATATAATGGGGAAAATGTGTAAAACCGCGAGGCTCAGAGCGCAGTGGGGACGCAGACGCCTAGGCTCTGGTGGTGACACTGTGCACAGACAGCGGCTCGAGGGAGGTAGTCGCAGGCCCTGTGCACTCGTGAGCATGTTCGCATCCTCAGTCAAGTCATGAGTGGTGACAGACTGTTCTGCGTGGAGGGCAGTGTGCCCTCATATTCCGTGTGGCGTCATTTATACCGAAACCGGAAATGGTCAGATGCCAGCACAATAGAAGGATTTACTGAGCTCTCACACCCTTCTGATGAAATGTCAGGCCGCATTACAAATTTACGCTTGTGAAAACTGATACCCTACAGGAAACATTTATGATGCAAAGTTACGAAATACTCAATTATATTCTTACTGGGATCAAAACCATGCAAGATCATGTACTGTAACACAGCACAGGAAAATACACGGTAACAGAAAGGACTTCAGCGAGGCAACCAGTCCAGGCTTAACTTTTATTAGATTTTTGTTAATGTTACAATATTTGGCCAATAATATTACTATTAGTTTTGAAAAGAAACATTCAGACGCCTACACACTCACTCAAAATGAGCCGCACTCAGCGCCTTAGGCCCTTACACTTGGGGTTGAATTTTGCTTATTTCCTGTTTCTTTGCCTGCAGTCAGTCCAAGTTTTCTGTGGTCGAGTTACTCAGAGATCCCAGGCCTAAAATCCCTTTTGTAACCTTTTCGAGAGCAACACCTTCTGAGAGCCTCATTCAGGGGTCAAGTTTTGCAGATGTTTATTTGTTTGTTTGTTTGTTTTTGACCCCAAGCCTTGCTATGTCACTAAGTTGCCTGGGCTGAGTTGAAATGCGGGACCCTCCTGCTTCAGCCTCCCAGAGGGCAGGGAATACAGGTGTACGCCACAATGACTGGCTTTAGACAGTAAAGCTCTCCTCTAACTAAAGCCAAGATCCGGGTCAGTCTTTCCTCTCCTCCCCTTCCTCCAGTTTGACCGTTCTTCCCCTTCTTTGCTTCTCACTGCTCTTTAATTTTTTCCTATATTCAGCTCTGTTCTTGCTCTTCCCTCTCCTATTTCGCCCTCCTTTCTGCCGGTCAGAATGGGTCTCACAGGAGTGGAAATGATCTCACTAAAACGAAGGTGTGTGCGTGGTCCTCCCTGGAGCCGCGGGAGGACTCATATTTTCCAGATGGGGGAGGCCCCAGTGCGCCCCGTGCGGAATCCTCGGCCCAAATAATGACTGGCACGAACTGGTCTAAGAGAGGGGCTCACGCGTGCCCGAGCGTGTGCACTGCGGCACTGTTTATAAGGAAACTGGAATTAACCAAGTGCCCGGCACTGCGGAAGTGCAGAGCAAGGCCAGCAGCTCCCGCCTTCAGACGCGGGCTAATCGCAGCGGGAATGGGACCCGCGCACCACCTGGGTCTCCAGGCCCCTGGCTCCCCTAGGCGCAGCCTCGCTCCCTCTCTTCAGGAGCGGGGCCCTCAGGGAGCCCCTTCCCTGCAAGCTCTGTCCAAGGCCTGTCCCTACCGCCCGCCTGGCGCGGCAGCAGGCAGTGGAAGGCGGCGAGCAGAGGTGGGGCTGCTCCGCGGAGTGCACCCGAAGCTCAGCAGGCAGCTTAGCCAGACCGGCTCGGACCCAAGACGGGCAGACCCGCCTGCTTGTTGACTGAAGCTCCGCGGACCCCCCGAAGCTCAGCAGGCAGCTTAGCCAGACCGGCTCGGACCCAAGACGGGCAGACCCGCCTGCTTGTTGACTGAAATTACTGGATATGTTTAGCAATTACGGGACTTAATACTATCAGGCTAAGATACGGTGGTGAACACCTGTAATACCAGCGCTCAGGAGGCTGAGGCAGGAGAATCGCTGTGAGTTCAAGGCCAGCCTGAACTACATAGAAATACTTTGTCCAAAAAAACAAAAAAGAGTCCACTTTGGTATTATCTGTAGTGTAGTGTTATGTTCCCTGCTCTTAATTTTTCTTCTCCTACTTTATTTAAAACTATAAAATTTATTTTTTGTGCCAGGAAAACAATATCTAGTTTTTATCTCCCTACTATTTGAACTGTTAACTGAGACAATAATTAAAATCACTGACCTGAGATTAAATAAGCACGTACAAGTCTTCTTCGGGCTGCACTAATATTGTGCTTGGTGTGGGTTCCTCGTCCAGACGCTGAGACTTTCCCAAAGTCTGAAGCCCTTGGAGGCTATGTGCTCCGCCTGGAGCGCAGATCCTGGCCGCAGCCGTCACTGTGTTAATCTGGTTTCAATTTTCGAAGTGTCTCGATTCACAGCTTATCTGTGGGAACACATCGGGGCCCTATCTTGAATATTCCAGGGGGAAGATTTACGGAAACCAATTAATTGCGCAAGCCAGCAAGCGGGGTCTCAGCCAAAGCGGGGAGCGAGGACGGGCTGGGGTGGCCCGGCAGGGTGGCCGCGCCTCTGTGTCAGCGGAGTCCGGTGAGGTGGGCGCCAGGCCGCGGGCTTGGCACCCCCTGCCCCTTATCAGCCTCTGGGCCCCCGAGAAGCCACCGGGAGCCCTCAGCCGGATGGGCGGGCTCTGCTGAGTGCGCAGGCGCGACTCACGAGGGAGGCCCAGCTTTCCTTCCAGAAACAAGGGGGGCGCCTGGGGCTCCCACGGGCACGGTGGGCGGCCGGTGGTGAGAGGTGAAGACCAGAAGCGCGGCATCCTCCTCCAGCCTGGTCGGAGCTCGGGCAGGGATTCCTTACCGAACTCGAGCGCTTTGACATTTCACTTTGCTCGAGAAATTCCCACCACAGCCCTGAGAAAGATGTGTTGGATTCGGGGCCGCCTTAGGGTGTCCTTTGAGCCCAGTTAGCCTTCAGCCCAAACTGCGTCTGTACCTGAGGGTTACGGCCGCATTTCCTTAAGCTTGCACTCAAGAAGCACACATTTGGTAAGCAGACCCCTGGGACCCTTAACTTTGAGGGACCCAAGCCAAGTCAGCTGGTCACAGGGCAGAGGGGTGCAATTTTTAAGAAGTGGGGATCTTTTCCAGAGCACGCAAACAAGGCTTCCTCATCTCCTCTTCCCGAAGGCTGCCTGTCCTGCCGCTTTCACCTCCAGCAAGCCGAGGCAGCGCCACGCACACACCGAGAAGGCCCTGTTCTGTGCCAGGCCCTGAACTGGGCGGGCGCCGAGGGCCGGAAATAACCCGGAGGGTGGGAGACCAGTTACCATGCAGCAGGTGTGTTCATTTGGGTCCAGGGAACCTGGAGCTCAAGCTCCAGGAGGCAGATTGGGTCTTTGCAGAAAGAGAAAAGGATTGGAAACGCCTTCAGAAGAAACTGACACCAGATTCTTTCCTTTTTTTTTTTTTTTTTTTTGGTACCAGGGATCAAACTCGGGATCTTGCGCTTGTGAGGCGGGTGGCAGAACCAGTGAGCCAAACCCCCAGCCCAGCAGATTCATCTCTGAGGAAAGCACAGGACCCAGAGAGTAGAACGAGCCCAGGAGTAGGTGGGTACCTGGAGGGGACAGGCACCCAGAGGCCCGTCAGCTGGTGCGGCCGCAAGGGCTTTGTTTCTGGGTCCTGGAGTCTGGAAACGCGTGAGTCACATGCTTCTCACGGGTGTCCTCTCACTGGTGAGTCCTCTGTGCCATTTAAAAATGCAGAACCCCTCCTCATGCACAGGCCTTGCAGAAACTGGGGAGGGCCACATTTGGTCTTCTAACTCCTGGTGTCGATCGAAGAAAAGATTGGAGGCCCCAGAAGCCCTTGCTCTGCACTGTCCAAAGGGTGGGAGAGGCGGGGACCCGCACAGCTTTCCCATGGCAGCCTGCGCACGGCCAGTTCGCTGCACATGAAGTAGGCAGCAGAACAGTATCGGGCAAACACTGTTCCAAGTTATAAAATAGAGCACAAGGGCCGAATGGGTTTCCCATGGACAGGGACATGACCACAAAACAGACCGCGGTGCACTTCAGGAAAATCTTCTAAACCTTGAGAAGTCACATGAGTCGGAAAAACTCAGTGATGAGGCAAGAGGATTCTGGAAAGAATTAGAAATTTTAAAAAATTAATTTCAGAAACAAAGACTAGGGCAGGAGTATGGAGAAAAAATGAGAACCAAGACCTGTCATGTAAAGGTACAAGATCCTAGTGATGACTGTAACTGTACTGTCTACCTAAAATGTTCCAATAAACTCAATGAGGAAAAGAAAGAGTAAACTAGAAGGAACACAATATCAAATAAAACATGGGTTACCTTAAGAGCAATAGAAAGTGAAAACGTGGAACATTCTTCACATAAAAAAGTAATGAAGAATTTTAAAAAGTGCCAGAAAGTAATAAACATTGAAGTTAGGCAAAGGAGATGGCCTAGGAATTCCTGGAAAAGAAATCAAATCAAAGAAAAACTGAATATGAAATTCTACCACTGAAGATGTTGATGCATTTTTAGAAAAAGATTTGAAACTACAAATTGTACATCACATTCCTGAGATTATCACCTCAAAATAAATTACTAAAATTTGAAAAAGGGAAAATGCTATGGATTGTTATGTTAGTTGGCTAGGGCTTCCATACAAAGGCACAGCCGTGGTGATTGAAATAATGGTGGAAATGTGTTTTCTCCCAGACCCAGAGGCAGAAGTGCTGGACCGAGTTGGGGTTTGCTATGAGGTTGCTCTTGTAGCAGCATGTGCTGCCTCCACCCTGGACCTCAGATGACTTCGTGTGGCACAGCTGTCCCGGTGTCACTGCGTCTCTGTCAGGACACTGGTGACATTGGGCCTTGGGACCCCATGGCCTCTGTAACCTACAAACCCACCTGCAAATTCAGTCAGATGGGTCAGGAAGTGGGGCACACGGTTTAGTCCACAGCAGGTGTTTTTCAGAAAGCTCATGACATGTAAGGAAAAAAATCAGATGATCATCAAACCTTTTTTTTTTCTCATTGAGTTTATTGGTACATTCTAGGTATACAGTACAGTTACATTCATCATTGGGATCTTGTACCTTTACATCACAGGTCTCGGTTCTCATTTTTCCCCTTGTCCCTGCCCTCCTTTCATACCCTCCTCCCTTCCCTATTTACAAATACTTTATTTCCATGTTTTCATCAAACCTTTTAAGCTATGTTTTATGCTAGAAGAAAAATAAGACATTCCCCCCAAAAAAAAAACATGAGATGAGAATTTTATGTCAAAAACCCACTGACTTAAGTAACAGCTCAGGGAATCTGTTATCAACACGCCAGGGCGAGGGCGGCCTCATTGCCGTGAAACTTTACCGAAAGCCCAGCAGGGTCAAACTGAGATAAGCAAGCAAAGCAGGAGCTGTGGGTCCAGGGAGCAGGGCAGGACACAGTCCTGGGTGGGTGGATGGAGAGGCAGCAGAGAGAGGGACCGCACAGCCAGCGTAGGGCTTAGGGACGAGCAGAGAGGGGCGGTGCGCTAGGCGATGGTGCAGCTCTGGCCATGTGTGTGGAGCAGAGCTACATCAGCAGTACGAGGAAGAGGAGGAAGAAAGGGACAGCACACGCAGGAAGCCCAACATGCCGCCATTTGCAGTTTCAGAATTGGACAGACCAGACAGTGAATGATATTTAAAGAATATTTAACAGACTGCTTAACAAAGAATAGCTAGTATTTTCTGGAATGGAAGAAGCAGTATAACATACCAAGCAAGATAAAAATAAATTCATATATAGATATCTTAACCTTAGTCATGCTACACATCATCAAAGACAAAAATAAAAGCCAGGCGTGGTGGCGCATGCCTATAATCCCAGCACTCAGGAGGCGGAGGCAGGAGGATCCCCAAGACATCAAGGCCAGACCGGGCTACGTAGTGAGTTCAAGGCCAGGCTGAAATGGATAGTGAAACCTGGTCTCAAACAAAGACAAAGATCAGGTTATAAAAGGTGCCAAAAAGAAAAGGCAGAATATCTCTAGGAAGTCAGTGCGACTCACAGCAGTCTTCTTCAATGCGGCAGTGAAAGCCAGAGGAAGCACAGCGCCCTTGGTGTACTGGGAAAACACTGCAGACCCAGGGTGGAAATCAGTGAGCGTGACTTCCGAAACGAGAGCAGACACCTGCAGATGATCAGAAAATGAGTGTTTATCCCACGACTGAGTGCGACACACTGAAAGGCTACATAGTTCAGGAAGAGAGTGACCCAGTAAGGGTGGGGTGCGAGGTGCAGACACACAGGACTGAGGCACAGCTGCGCCAGTGACAGTGATGGTCAGGGCAGGACTGACTCAGCACTTCCTCCAGCAGCGGGAGGAGCTGGACCAGGCTTTGTTGGCCTTGCTGGGGAGGCTGTGAAAGAGTCATTACCCTCAGGCTGTAAAGTAGGAATCCAGCATTTAGAGGTAGCCCTAAGAGAGCAGAAATGCAGCCAGGCCCATTTCTCCCAAATCTGTGAGGGTGGAGAAATGGGAAGCAAAGCAGAGGCTTTACTTGAGGCTGGCGGCTTCTGGGTCTGAGGAGCCAAGGGCCCTCAGAGCTCAGCGGGGGTTCAGGGGGCTGCAGAGGCAGAGAAAGGCCAGGCTCAGAGGAGCAGGAAGTGGAAGGGAGGACTTGGGCATTCCTGCCTGGAGCTGTAATGTAAGAAAATTGGATTCACCTTTGGTTACTAAAATATCTATAATTAGCTTTTAAATCTTCACCCATTTAAAAGCACCAGGATGGCTCAGTGCAGAAACAGACTTGATGCCGGTCTTACCTCCCTCTACAGGGTCTTCCTGCCCTCCCTGCCCACCCTGCAGGAGGGGGTGCCCGGCTGCCAGGCCTGCAGCTCTCCAGGACGCTGTCAGACCTTGGCAGTGAGAAGTCGGCAGAGGCGATCCCCAGTCAGATCAGCTGTCTCCAGCGCTCGGCTGGTGTCCCTTCCCTCACTGTGCCCCATCTGTCAGGCTGATTCTCGTGTGCGTGTGCGTGTGTGCACAATTTCAGCCTGGTCACCTGTGGCTTCCTTCAGTTCTGCACTGTAATTCACCAGAAGATTAATTGGTGGGCTTCACAGTGGCGCCTACTTTTTGGCTCCAGAGAGAGGCCACGGAGTGTCATGGTACGTGCTGGAGCATCTCTGGCTGCTGGATGTGATAGCTGCTGACAGGCTCGCTCCAGACTCTTCTAGAAGTGAAATTAGTATGGAATATGGAAGGA